GAGAAGTACGAGCTTCTTATGAACTGAAGCTCCTAGAAGAGGCGCAGCAAAAACCTAAAGCGTTCTATGCATATATCAGGAGCAATACCAAAAACCGGGACCATCTGGCAACCTTAAAGGACAAAAATAACCAAATTGTGAGCGATGGCCTTTAAAAAGCCCAGCTTCTTTCTGAGTTTTTCCAAAGTGTCTACACCACGGAACCACCCCTCCAGTCCTGCTCTCTTCCACTGCCCGCCAACCAACCACTTATAAGCACAGTATTTTTTATTCCGCAGTTAGTTTTAGCAGAGCTAAATAAGCTGGATCCGGCCAAGTCACCTGGACCAGATGAGATCCCAGGTGTACTCCTGCGTCAGCTAGCCGAAGAATTAGCAGAGCCACTTTCTATAATCTTCCGAAAATCGCTGGAAGCTGGCAAACTACCTGACACATGGAAGTTGGCAAACGTCGTACTTATCCACAAGGGAGGATCACGGCTATGTCCCACGAACTACCGGCCGGTTAGTTTGACATGCATTTGCTGCAAACTGACGGAAAAAGTAGTTAAAAATCTATTACATCACTCGATACTTTCCGCTGTCACATCGCCTCAGTTCAACATGGCTTCTGCGAAAAGCGGTCATGCCTCACAAACCTGCTTTCGTCACTCGAACGCTGGTCAAAGGCCATAGATGAAGGACATCCAGTTGATGTCATTTACTTCGACTTCAGCAAGGCGTTCGATTGCGTCCCGCATAAGCGCATCATTCAAAAAATGTCAGAAGTAGGGATAAGAGGAAATCTTCTGAACTGGATTCAAGATTTCCTAAACGGACGGCGACAAAAAGTCACTTCGGGCGGCTACTGCTCAGAATGGGCACCTGTTACGAGTGGAGTCCCACAGGGGTCAGTTCTTGGGCCGCTCCTATTCATTATCTACATAAATAACCTAGTAGGGGAAGTGAAGTCGGAAATAGCGCTCTTTGCAGACGATCTTAAACTTTGGAGAGCGATAAAAAATGAAGATGACGTCAAGATACTACAAAAGGACGTAGAGAATTTGCACGCATGGAGCGAGAAATGGTGCATGAAATTCAACGTCACAAAATGTGCAGTAATGCACGTAGTATCAGCGAGGCGAAGAACAAATGCACCCCCACGACAGTATCTCCTGGACAATCAACCACTTAAAACCGTAGATGTGCAAAAAGATCTCGGTGTGTTCATTAAAGACGATCTAAGCGTCACCACGCAGTGTTGTAAAGTCGCTGCGCGAGCAATGTCCGTTATGAGCGCTATACGCAGAACGTTTATACACTTGAATAAAGATGTTTTTAGCAAAGTATACGGGACATTCGTGCGGCCGCACCTGGAATATGCGGTACAGGCTTGGCGGCCGTG